CACCCTTTTCCCGACGCCCAAATAGTGTCGGCGCAAACTTGTCCGAGTTTCGACTGCAGCTGGAGTCTAGGTAGAATACGTAATGAGTACGTGGGTTCTTGACTTCGAGCTATATACACGAGCTGGCCCATTATGACTAATCGTTTGGTATGCCTCGCTATCGAGTCTCGGCTAAGTATTTGTCCGGTGAATGGAATTCGTACGTGTAAGAATTACAGTTTGGACCGTTATCATGTATTTGCATTCAAACAAATGCGACGACATTTGTTCAGGGTTAAGAAACGTTATTAAATAGCAAATTATCTTAGATAATTAGCAAATTGCATAATATATTACATAAGAAGCGAATAAACGAGGAAGCAATCAATAAATAAGTTTTAATTGCGAGTTGTGATTGAAAATAATGACAATGAAGAAAATAATTTCATTTTAATCGATCACTTTAAATCTCTATAATAAAACATTTGTTTCGTAAAATTAATTAAATACTTCAAGTGGAAGTTTAATTAACGTATAAATAAATTATTATGTTATGTTAAATTTATAATTTAGTAAAAGGGAGAAAAATCCTTTGCAAATTTTGTATCGTTCATTTCAAACACTATTCGGTCCACCTTTCGAGGTAATTAATATATTTAGTATTAAATATATTTTTCACCCTTACATTTTCACCATCGGCAATTTATATAGAATATATCTTACAACCGTTCCCACTATCGAACGTTCAATTCAAGCACGGTCGGATCAAACTCTTACTTTACTACTTGATGTCGCTCATCGTGAAGCGCTTCTCGCACGAGATCGAAGATTCCTAGATAATTTCCCGTCACGCGATCGTCAAGTGGCCACTTACTCGGGTGCGATCTAATTTCTGGCTTAATCTCGAAGACGGGTGCGGTCCGGTGATGGGGAACGATGTGAACGCGAAACGGTCATACGCGCAATCAGGATGCGAGAGATTGGGAGAACGATGGGAGGAAGGGGAAGTTTAGATATCGGTGGCTCTATAGTGACGTATTATAGCGATTGCCGGCAGCAACCTCAGCCTAAGTGAATGGCTCAGCCGAGGGCCTTTGCTGATTATGGTGTCGCCATTGATCCAGATCGAAATTGGCTTGCCTCTGTCATGGAACGCACCCAGAGGGCCATTAATATCCTCTGTGGGCCAAGAGCGAACGGATGCGACGCCCGTATCGATGAGAAGAGACGAGAGTTAATCGCAAATATGGCTGCAAATCGAGGTGCGAAGCTTCCCTCTCATCCATCAATTAATTAATTAGCAGCCGATCGTTTCTCGTTTCTGTTGAGATAGTCTTTAAATCACATAATTGAGGATTTACGAAAGAAATATATCCAGAAAAATAAAACATTTTAACAAAAGATGTTATTATTTAAAAGATGTTATTAAAAATAATATTTCGTTGTTTTATTTTGTTCATATTTTTTCAAGGATAATATTTTATCGGGGAAGCAAACAAAAAATATTTTCTTAAATTTTATATTATAAAAATATTCAATGCATAGCAATTTTAGAATATAATATTTTATTTTAATCACTTTTCTTTTTGAGATTTTAAAAAGTCAAAAAATGTTTCATTAATAACAAGGAAAATATGCTGCCTCTAATGAAATATTTGTATAATTATTCTCCACACATATTAAAATTTTAATCGATATCGTAGTGATTCCTCTTCAATCACAGAGAAAATAGACCATTCTTGATTCATCTCGTTATAGAGACTGCCAAATGAAAATTATTTATGAGAGACCGAACTTCTCTGACAGCAATCGATTCTTCGGCATTAAACAGTCGGTTAATGATAAAAGGAGCCTTTCGATTTAATATATAACGATATAAAACCATGATTAGGAGAATGTCGACCCGCTATTTGTCTATCTATCAACACGATTAATAAATTGTCGGGATTAAAAAGAGCTGAGAATCAGTAATAAACGTAGTGCTCCCGGAGATTGGATTCGGCATAAATCGATGAAACTGAAGCATAATTCTCGCTCGCTTCCAATCGTCTCGAACGTGTTCCTTCACATTTCCTTTCGCTTAATCTGTCTGTGTCATTCCTGATTAACGAAGACTAAAACGACTTACGGAAGATAAAGATGTTCCGTATTTGATGACGCTAAGTAATAAAATTACATCAAAGTGTGAAATTTATGGATCAACTGCAGCGTGTCACGCGACGCAAGTAACAGATTATAAATATCGGATTGGATACAAATGCCGTTTTATTTTTCCATAAAATTTTCCGATATAGATAAATTATGAAGCATTGGAAATATGCCAATAATAGCAATGGATTAATTTAGATCATTTAAGGGCGTTTATTGCAAACTTTTATGTCGCTTATTACTCTTTTCAGTCCAATGAATAAACTTTATTTGCGGGACAAATATATAATTTTATCTTTTAGCCAATATATGTATATATAATAAAGAGATTAATCTAATTTTTTCGCAAATTTAATTCAAAGCAGAAAATTGCATACAATTATTCTATATATCAGATTATCTGCTATTAATAATAATATATAAACGTTTTATTTTATATGTCACAGTAAAATTCATTATACTGATATTAAAATAGAGTATGCGTTTTAATTAATTTCATGTCACTTTAACGCAATCTATAAAGGTCAATAATTGATTAATAAAAACTTGCAAACTTTCATTTTTTAAATGTAAAACTATATCACTATGAATTTATTATATATATTTATTATACATATTTATATAAATTTATTATATATATATATATATATTTATTTATTTATAATTTATATGTAAATTTATTATATATTTATAAATTTCATGTTCAGGAATAAATTGCAAGATGAAAGAAAGAATTTCTAATATATAATAAAATAAAATATATAACGTTTTGCTTAATTTGACCCATTTTATTTTAACTATTATCTTTTTAGTATCAATTAAATTGAAAGTGGAATTTGTGATAATACATTGAAGTGCGATCTTTACGATCGCAGAATTACATGGAAGTTGACATATCTCTCATGCAAAGAATTACACGGAAAGTGAAGATGATATTGCTTTTGACAGTTGACTTCTTTCTCACTCTCCAAGTTACGGTACGGCTTTGTCAGTTTTTATCAGCTAATTGCAAATTTCAAAGATACTTGTCCGCTGGATTGGATTAAAAATTGACAAAATTGAATAGTTTCCAGAGATCAAAGAAATCTATTTTCTGCTTCTCGAATAAAAATACTGCAAATACGGCAAAATTTATTTATATTAATTTTATTATATTAATTAATAATATATACTTTGATAGAATTGAATTTTTTTAAATTAAATTTTTGAATAATTAAAAAAATCGTAGAAATTAATCACGCACGTGATTAATCACGTATATGTATGGATTCTAGACTTGAAATTTTTCCAAAATTTCTCGAGATCGATAGATATTTTTTCAAGACATCTCGTAGACGCGGCGATGAAGATTCGAGGTAGATAAATGATCCTTCTTTCGTCTGTCTTTGTCGATTGCCAATATCTCGGCAAGAGACGGCGGGATCGAACAGGCGGGATTCCTGGTTCCGATAAGAGTTAGTGCTCACTTGTTGACCCGTTTCAATGATCGTAACTTATCGAGATACAAGACCGGCGATTGAGAGCAACGACGTGAAGCCAGACGCTGAGAATTTCGGATTTATCGGGAAGTTTTAATATATATATATATATATATATATATATATATATATATATATATCGCATGAAGCTTTTTACGATGACAAGTGCGGTCGATCGCGCGATGATGACGCGGTCTCGCGATTTTCAGGAGAATCAGCTGATCCGCTTGGCCATCAGCTGGATTCGTTAAGAATTCACGCTCGGTTGAACATTCTCATGTTTCATCGACAATCGTCGGTGGTAAATTGAGGATACGCAGTCAATTGACTGTTAATGATACCCGATTCGTCCACAATTATCATGGCAAATCGAGAGAGTCTACGATCGACCGTTTGGCGATTTTCGACGGCGAACCACTCAAAGCCATTAGTTAGCTTCTGATCAGCCACTCCAAGTGGCGTTGCGAGCGAGTAAATTTTCTGTTTTATCGTGTGCATGCAAATCATCCTGGGAAGGCATTTCGACACACCGTTTGGCACGATCTGATTGGATTGGCGCGCTCGTAGTCGAGTAGAATTACAGACGCGGGATATGCCGATCAATGGCAATTCGTTACAATGGATGGCTACAGATGAAACTGATAATGAATTGGAATTGTTTACGTGCTGCATAGTCGTTTTAGCAAATACTAGCAACTTGCGCGTAGCGATTCCATTTGTATATAATATCGATAATTGGCGGCTTTTGCGCGTGGGTCCGATTGAGAGAATACGTTTCTACGTTAATGATGGGTCTATTCGTTATCAATAAGATTGCTTTACCATAGATGCCATATGTCGCGTCTTTGTCTAAGTTGGATTGCTTCCCGCTCGTATCTAATTGCCAGCAGTTGGATCACCTTTAGAGCAGTCACGAGCATAAACTCGCTGCATCAAATAGTTTCGGTTCTGTTAAAATTCCCGTACATCAAACACCGTTGATTTTCTTAACACATACACACACATGCTTAAAGAATCAAAGTTTATTTAGGTCGAACGATTTTCCGATGATATTCCATAAAAAGCTTACACTGATTTGTTAATGGCAATAGAAAGCAGATAATTTTAGTTCTATTTTCACCCAACTGCCAGTGTGATAAATTAATATTTGATTGATGCTCCTCAAGATTTAAATCATTTTTTAACAAAATTGCTTTTTCGCTATGTTTGTTTCATAAATGATAATATAAATCAATATAAAAATTGTGTGAGTAAATATTGTAATGAGTCAAAGTAAAAGTATATCTATAATAGGGGTATATTTCTTCGCGCGCGCACTAGAAGAGTGGGAGATAAAAGTAATGACCGAGGAAGAGAAAAAGTAGGGAAACTTAATGAATGCCATGTTGGGTTTACCTGTGCACCGACGAGGCCAGCGCGTAATCTAGGGATGTCCGTGTGACTCCAGTCTGATCTGGCCCAAGGGTCGACCCTGCCGAGGTCGCTGCTCAGGTTGACCTCGCCAAGTTGATTGTGTACGAACTTTCTGACGTTCCAGGGCAAATCGTTGTGCCTGTGAAAATCGAAATACGACTTATCGAGCAATATTATAATATTTCACGAACAGTATCGGATTCTTTATTAATTTTTAAATTTATTTAACACGTACTAGACTATGATACTTTTTGTTCAAATACCGCGTATCAAATATTACATCCTAATATTATTGTATACTTGAAGAGTTTGCGAAATGTATTATATATGTATATGAATGTCTGTAAATTATAATGTAATTGGAGATGAGAGAACATTGAATCCAAACAGATTCTTGTATCGAAGAGAGAACGAGAGAAAGCCATATCCATTGCGCGTTATAATATACGAGATTTGGGAACAATAATTTGATATTAATGAGATACACATGTTCTGGGAAATTACGCGATGCTGCGTGGGATGTCGAAAACATGAAGCAATTCGGATATCTTTTCGACGTCTTCACCCACATAAATCGAAACTCATTTTCTAGGATCAATCGCATATCGAATAACAAATGCTCACCCGTCGATCAGAGGCACTTCAGTGAGGATTCTCCTGATCACGTCCAGCCTCTGCTGGTGCGTGGCAGGCGCGGATTGAAGTAGAAACGGCAGACAGAGACCTCCGAGGAGCAGGACGGCCACTAAGAACAGGACAGGCGCCAACAGCCGACATCTCCTGCGAGGACTCTCGTCTCTGCGATCCTTGCTGCTGCCGCTGCTGGGCGAATCCTCGCACGGCGGCGGTAGCCGTACGGTGCCGTTGCACGGCGCCACATCTGGCAGTTCTGTTAGGCACGTGGTCTGAAAGAAAGAGAGCCCGTGTCAACAATGTTTTATTTATTCTTCATCTTTATCGATTGTTTCAAAAAATTTCTAAAATTACATATGTATAGCATTTTTCCAGAGCTTTTTATTAGCAATTTAATTATAACTCTGGCTCTAAAATTTTCTATTTGCTCTTTATCGATCTCGATAAATTATTAATCTCGTGGCGGAGATTGTTGTTATAATTGACAATCCAGAAGCTAGGAATATGAATTTCAACAGTGTGATAAATATATTACATATCCATTTTAGATAAATATATTACATATCCATTTGTGATAACAAAGTTGTTTTTAAACAATGATTAAAATTATATATGTATGTATAGCCTTTTTTAGCAATTTAATTGCCAGTATAACTTTGATTCTAAAATTTTCTATTTGCTCTCTACCTATCTATCGGTCTCAATAAATTATTAATTTCGTCCTGAAGGTCGTTGTTATAATTAAATAACTGTGAAGGTAGAAATATGATTGAGTATTTTAACAGTATGATAAATATATATATTGCGACATATTTTAGTTTGTGAGAGCAGGTTGTTGTTTTAAAATATTATATGCTAAAATTACATATATGTAGCCTTTTTTTAGCAATTTAATTGTCATAATTTAAATTTTATTTTAGTTTTAATAAGTACATAATTGAGTAGTTTGATTTCATTTTCTTTTCTCAGGCGCGGGTAATATATGTGAAGATCAAGTTTGCGTAGCAGATCTCGGCTCATGAAGCAAAAAGAGCTTTTTGAGTCAGTAGTAGTATCGTACATACATTCGAGATATTTGCTTCGTTAAATTAATTAATCTAGTTAATATCTCTGCCGTAGAGATTACACGCTGTTGTTCAGTGACCGCATACATTTATGAGAATAAATAATTACTCGCGACTGTAATTTTATGAGTCGTAAGAAATGAAAAGATATCTTTTTTCTTGAGCAGTATTAAAATGAAGCACAAGTTATAATCATTTTTGTATATCCAATAACAAATATTTTGTTAACATATTGAAACATTTTTTGTCACAAAGTTTAATTAATATATTTGTATTTAAATCTATATATCTTTAAAGATATATTTTTATATATTTTATATTTTTTTGCGTTATATTTCTACTCGTTTCTCCTACATCTTTTCGCGTTAACATTGTTCAAGCTCACATTTCAAACGTTGCAAATATAAGCTTTGCAATTAACTGGAACATAAATCTTCTCGTTTCGCACACGTATAAGACTTTTCGATGCGGGTGAACACATCCGGGTGAAGTTAGACAATCGCGCGTGTTAACGACTATTTAAGCGTCTCTTAGAAAGTGCATTACGCTAGTAGTGCATGTAGCGGAAACGAACGGTACGGTGGCTGCAACCTGTCCGCGGAAAATTACAACCAACGCGGATGGAAGTGCGACCTCTCGTAGAAGGAGGGTTGGAAGGAACGAGAACTCCTTCGCGACGTCACTGCGACGCTCTGCAGAGCAAACTTTTGTTTGCCCTCCTTTCGACCACCATAAAACACGTTAACGCCCGGGTACGTAAGATTTTCCGCGTATATAGTGTACATGGTGGAGTGGTTGCGAGGCCAAAAATACAGGGATACTTGGCGAGCCTTTGGGGGATTTTCTTAGCTTCTACAATTGTCATAAACAACTCACCAAGTCACAACTCTCTTCGCGATGCTCATCAGATTTCGTGTGGTTTTACGATTTTATAGTAAATCAAATAAAATCATAATTTTCCGATATGATTGATAAGAGAAACATTAACGAAAAATGTATTTTCCAAAATGTATTTTCTCACATATAATTATTTTATTTTAGATGATTTATTTATTATTATTTTAATTAAGCATTTAAAGAAACTAGGATTGTACGAGATATCAAGTCTTATAATAAATTCGACACAAGATCAAGACTAAATTTTTCATTAGATATCAAGATACAATACTACGATCATTATTAAAAGAATATTGGCCTTATCAAGATTATTGATCTTTGAGAAGTTAAAATATGTGTATTTGTTATTAGATGAGAAAAAATTATATTATATTATAAATTTAAAATATTTTATGTATAAAAATATTTATATTAACAAATTTAGAAATCATTATTAGAATAAAAAATAAACAATATAAAATTTTATATAATTATTTAACTACATAATATATATATATAAAATTTTAGGAAATAAGCGAATGACATAAATAGCAATAATTATTTTAAAATATATCATAAAAAGCTTATGTTAAATATTATTTTATAATCGTTTAACATTAAATAAGAATTTTTAATAAAATCGAAACAAGACGAGATCTTTGCTACAAGATTCACTGAAGACCAAAACAAGATTTAAGTTTTCGAAAATTTTCGATATCAATACAATAATATTTTTACGAATATTGTCTTGCGCAACTTTAAAAGAAACTTGAGTTGTGCAAGTTTAAAAGAGACTATAAAACATTATAAAACATAAATTTTGAGACATTCGACATGATAAAAGATTAAGTAGTCAAATAGCAGTAATAAAAACAGAAAATTGAAAACTAATGTTTCGTTATCATAGATTAAAGTTAAAAAATAGCTGGGAAACAAAACAAAACAATTAAAAAATATTACTGCAATAGTGGCGAAACAGAAAAATGTTGAAAGGCACATGTCGCGTATACCGCTTCCTGCGAAACTTACATTGTTCTGTTGTTTATCTTTTTTCCGCGCTGAGTTTCGCATATTTATGACGCATAATAATGCGGATACGAGGGATGCGAGGGATACAAAGTTTTGCGAAATGCTTGTACGCGGAGAAAGAAACTCGAAGGGAACGACGAGCGCTGGATGAAGTGAATTCAACTGCGAGCAACGAGCTAAATCGCCAAAGTTATCGTCGGCATTACTGACGATTCGCAAAAGAAACGATGGTATGCGTTATCGTCGAAGCGCGAAACGACGAAAACGCGATTCCCATTTCTAGCCGTTCTCCGTTTTCTTGTTCGCGACTCCGCTCGGTGAGAATCGATTGTCGATACTGCGGATAATTAATAGCTGCCTGGGGATAATGAAACTGAAAGTCATGGGCTCGCCCCGTTTTCACGCATATAACTCTGACAAAGAGAGGACTTCTCGCGACAATACTCATAATTCGTTGCTTAAAATCAAGATTGCTTGTTGGATTATATAATGCGATGGCGATTAAGCCACAACGGTAGCTGTACCTCTTATCTTTTTTCCCCCAATAAATTTATATTCTTGAACTTTCGCTTCGTTCGTTAAATATAAAAAATATGAGAGATATAAAATATAAGTAAAGGGACAATTTATTTTTTAAAATTTCTTTAGTAAGTGTTACATAGAGAGAATAATTTCAAACTCTTGATTTTCCTCGCGCAAGCAATTGCCGACAAATTAATTCGTACTTTGCCACGCTCCAGCAACGTTAAGATAATTATTGTCGCTCGTGATAGTAATAATGGGCGACTGCCTTTTAACACTGCTTCCCTAGAATTTAACGAAAAAGCGAATTCGACGTACTTTTATAATCGCGCTAAAAGTTTTTACCGCGAGCGTAAACGTATTAATTAAGCGCGTTAATTGAACGCGTTTAAAAATGAAATGATACGATGCGATAAAATGGCTACGAGAAATATGCAATTGTCTTCAAGTGAAAATTTTTCTTGTCACTACTAAGAAATCGAGCATTTCTGAAAATATCATCCTCGTACATTATTCTTCAATCTTTAAAGATATCGCAACTTATTTTTCTCGAGGAAGGTAAAATATTACTTAATATGTCAATACCATAAAAGTTCTTCGCGAGATAAGATAGAGAAAAGTTTATATTATATTTTCATTTTACTGATATTTTTTTATTTCTTCCTGTAGAAATAATATTACTTGCTTCTCTTTAAAAAGATTTGCTTGATATCTTTAATTCCAGAGTTATTTTCGGCCGTATTTTTGCGATATTAATGCATTTTATATATGCGTACAAATGTCGGATAAAATGGTAAAAGTGACAAATAGCATGAATAAAAGATCTGATTTCCATATTTGAACTGAATCATGTTTAGTTATACACTTTTTTTTACTTTGCAATTAAAACACAGTAGTGCCACGTGCGCACGTTTATCGTGATTACGTTGTTTCGCTCGATACACAGCTCGTACGGCTCTAAAACTATAATAGAAGTCCTTCCGCATCTGACGTGTTCTTGCTGCGATTAAGTCTCAACCCGACTTCTCGAGGAGACGCAAACTGCGGGATTCGTAGTTGGCTCTTTAGTTACGCGCCAGGAAACCTTGAGGTGAACGCCGTCGTTGATTCTGTCTAGTTAATGGAACTAAGAAGCTCGTAAACGTATTAACTGCTGCAAAGGACATTGGCTTTGATCCGTCGATGACGGGCGACTGCCTTTGTTCTATCCTTCAAAATAGCGCGATCGACGAACACGAAACTCACATTTCAAAAGCTGCTTTTTTATATAAAATTATCACACATACACACACACATATCCTCTCTCTCTTTCATAGCATTACAGTCCTATATGGACCAAAACTTGTGCAACAATCTTCTGCCATCCTTCCCGATCTCTTGCCCGATTTTGACACACACATATATATACATATACATATATGTGATGTACACAGTATTTAATATTTTAATAAATTTATTTATGCATATTATGTGTATTTTAATTTTAATTTAATACGTATAATATTGTAAAATGATAAATGATGTTATATTATTCTGACTCAAATTATGGCCTGCATTATTTTGGAATGTGTTTGTAATAACTATATATTAGTATCAGAATAATTTATTTAAATGAGAAAAGTGCATATTTAACATTTTTATTCTAATTTAATTCTTTTATTTAAAAAATGAAGATAAGAGATCACCTGCAATTGTAATTCTTTTTTCCGGTAACTACTAAAACTAACCATAATATATGAAGAAATATGAGAGACAGCAGTTTTATGAGAAGATATAATGTA